ACAAAGAAATCTTCTTGCCAGCTCCATTGCGGTGCCTATTATCACCTTCCTAGCACGTTACTGCTGGCCTTCTCCATCCGTTCTAATTTAGTTAGAGAGCATAACTCATGGCTTTGTTTGGGGTGATTGGGATGGTAAGCGGTCCATCCTTTGGGTCCCTTCCGATGTGACCGCAATTTTGATGCATCAGAGGCCCTCAATGTGCCGTGCATTCGAGCAGAATTGATGTTATGGTGGCAAAGTCCTTCGCACAGTGTGCAGCTACAGCGTCTTCAAAAGATTAAATTATTCGAGGACTGCTGATAGGTCTCTACTGCATCTAGTACACCATGCACAACGCCGTGTTGTAATGAAGACTAGCACCTGGAAGGTCGATCAACTCTACATTAAACCGGTTCCGAAGCTGTTGGGCTTTTGGCGGCACGACATGTGCGCCTAGTGACGTTGCGGATTTCTGTCTTAGGGCCATCTCATTCACCTTACGAGCTGAGGTCGACTTTACCACAGACGGCAGTGTTACAATTGAAGGTGAAACTAAATGATGACAATTGCCGTGTCAGTATGCGAGCTAAAGCGGTAAAATTGGGGAAAAAATTGAACACCGGTGAATGAACCATGTAACGCTGAAATAAATGTCACGGCTGCTGGAACGCCGAGGGAAGGTCTGATTGGAATGTTGCGGATTTTGCAAGATGAAAGAATAATCTGGGTGGTACAATGTGTTCAACGCTTTTCTAAAGCGAAATTGTTTACTTTTCGGCGCGGCTCGACATGGCCAGCCAATCAATGGAGAAAAGGCGGCACTTTGGATCATTCTGGATCGCCCTTCTCCACAACTTTCCGGCACTCGTGTTTTGTGCAATTGACCCGGTTTGCGTACTCAATCAAGGTCCACCGATCATGACTGGTAACTGAAAAGTGAAGGGACATTGCTGGATCATTTCGATGCGGTCATAGAGTATGAAGCGACACCAGTCTCGTCGATGTCCTTGTGTTGCATTGCGGCGTCTCGAAAAGGGGGTACTTCTGTACACTTTAGAGCGCATCCGGCTCTCGCCCGCATCGTCCAAATTCGGGTAGGACAATGGCAATGGTGGCCGCACAGAAGCAGAATAAAGAAGGCTACCTCCGAATGACGATGCGTGCAAGAACAATGAATTTTCGACGAGCGAGTGTCAAAGAGAAAATTTCAAGTAGTTTCTGACGGGACGACACTAATTACCTGGAAGGAGATTCGCCGGGTGCGAGCATATTTTCTGACAATGCGCAAACGCTGTGTCGTTTGAAAAGCAGCATATGATTACTGTAAAACTAGAAACGCCCAAGCACGAGACACGACATATCCTTGCTACAATAGCAAGGATATGTCGTGTCTCGTGCTTGGGTGTTTTTGTACCTTTCCTTTTGCGACGCGCCATGTATCTTGGACCTGCTCCAATGCGAGTCGATACTGGGACCATCTTTATGTCAAGTAAAGCCCGCTTGGAGGATCCAACATGGCGGACTTTACGTTTAGGTGTTCGGAATCGATCTTCCGAAAGTTCCGCAGAAGTTTTGAGATGTTATCAAACAAACCTTCGCTCGGGAGTTGAGATGAAGGTGGCGAAAGATGCGGTATATCCTGCCACTCGAGAGCATTGGAGTTTCGCCGCCTCCATGACACTTCATGATATATGGTCAGAGCGGCTCCACCGTATGGACGACACGTCCTTGACGGAGGTGATACATCGCCAGAGCCAAGACGCAATTTTGACGTGCAATAAACCGATAGAAAGGGTCAGTATACCAGTAGGACATGAACAAAGACGGAGAACGGTTCGCGCGAGTGAGATCAGCATTGACGGACGGTATCTTCTGCATTGAAAAGCTAGCGGCGATGCAAGTGTTGCCCAACTCTGATGGACGGAAATTATATTGCTGCTATTCTTCGAGAACGGATTATGAAAAAAAGCCAGGACCAAGCGGATCTGGGTCCTTGATTCTCCTACTTAACACTTTGAAGCACGCCACTTGCGTTATGTTAGGATTCGAGCATGGCTTATAGTGCTGCTGATACCACAAACAAAATAGCTGAATACTTGGGGCTTGCGCACGGTATACGTTCCACGAATATGTCTGGTTACGCTCTGCTGCACATTGTTAGGATTGCGCGATGGTGCTCTCACAGCTTCGGATTCATTTTCCTGTAGAAACCAGCTTGGTGCCGCTATTTCGGGAGGCACGAGCCCTTGTGAACTAGCTAAAACTCTTCAGCTGGGGCCACCACAATAGCGCATACAACAAAGTAGCTGATCGACCATCAGTAATTTCCAAGGATACGATAGACTAATTGTAAGTTAATTTTTCCACATCAAACAAGATTATCTGGGAGCTACGGCATTCCTCGAAAAAGATGACAACCACTCGTTGGAGGCATTACAGGCGAAAAACCATGAGATACAAGGCATCGAGTTGAATCCGAGGAACTTAATTTTCCCGGGTTGAGACTCGGTGCGAAGGCGCTCGGCTGTCCGCGGACTAGTTCTACATATTATATAAAGTAGACGTCGCTCTGGTTATACTGTTATAAGGCTACAGGATATGATAGATCGCAAGCCCATTTGAATATACCTTACATTTTCACTCACCCAAACGTGACGCTGGATTTCAACGATCTTGACGAGGCTAGAACAATAGTTTCACTGCCTCAGATGACCTGCACATTTTTAATCGAAGAAGAAACTTTACATTTTGTAGGTCTCACAGTATACTTGTACGTACATGGCGTAGGCATTACACTACAGGTGAATTCATCGATTGATTAGATTAAGATTAAATATGTTAGCGTACTCGAGATAACGATCATGCGCTGGCAATATTACGCCATAGGTTTGTGGGGCAAAACTTATCGCAGGCAATATTATTTGCAAAACTGCGTTGAATACCAGCGCCGCTTAGCTGGTGGTTTGCCGGACTCAGTCAATGTTTGCTATAACTTAGCAACAACGCCTTTGTAGTGACTTGGGTAGATAAAACTCGTCCAAAAGAACTAGCAAAAAAAAACGGTAACACGACGAAACAAAACCCCAAAAATGAAAAATACACGCTAGATGAGCATTTTTAGTCGATTTTGCGCTACAAAGTCCTCTGCTTACCAAAAGTATCCGCGCCAAACATTTCGTGCTTGCGTACGTCCTTGGACAGCTTGATTCGCTTCATGATTCGTCTGTACTTGGCCGTTCATAAGACGTTACGCACGAAATTATCTAAAAATTGCATTTTTATCATCGGCGGTGTTTTAATATCATGGCGAAATGAGCGCAAAGGTACAACTGGCGTAAAATCAGCAACTCAGCTCGAGCCGCAACCACATGTTAGTATATCTTCGGGTGACCATGTCAGTTTAATGTGGTCCATAATTCTACATTTCATCCGTACAAATATAAATTTAGCAGACCCCGAGACATTGTTTCATCTTCAAATCTCTTACCTGGCGCTGCACACGCTATGAGATATTTGTCTAGATCACTTCGTGGGAACTATTTACATCCCATGTCCTTAATTTTCCCGCCCAGCGAAACATCGCACCATAGCCGCAAAATCAGCTCTTTAGCGTCTACATAGTCCGATCGAAAATAGCACTTTATCTAAAACATTATATATAGTATCGACTAGTTCATACCGGGGAAACACGGACTTTAATAAGTCGAATGAGGAGCGCACGTCTCGATCCGATCATGAGGAAAAGCTCAAGAAAATCACCGATGGACAGACGGACATCAAATTGCCGCATCGATGATTTCCTACCGATCGTTGTAGTGCGTTCGTACGTTGTGAAGTAATATTTACGATGGGTCATACGAACGACGTAAGATGATTTTTCTAGATGCTTATTTACTTTGCTTTTTTTGCTTGGACCAACATTTATAATGCGTGAAAACGAAATGAACAATTTATCTGGGACGTATAACAAGACGAGTGCATGTTCACGCTCAGAAGCATGCAACTGTGATGTCAAAAAAGCGTGATGGACGAAGGAAAGCGGCATCGAATTCTCCCCAAATGCCACTTCATGGGTTCGAGAGTCACTCTTTACGGACGTGTGAGAGTCAAAAGAGACGCCTGAATGGTAGACGGACCTGATGGAACCAACGGACCAGAGTATACTACAGCAGCTACGCGCTAAAATTCCGGAAATTGATCACTTGCTTGCTTGGCTACTTACATTCAAGTCATTACCTTGTTCCTTGCTTTCGCAGCTCCTAAGTGAAGTATTTTTAGTGCTGAACTACGTTACGGGAGATCGAGAACCCACATCGATCAGCCCATGCCTATACCACATGCTCGGCGTCTTTATACATCGTCCGTGCGGTGGAGAACAGACTGGTGCTTTGGCAGAACTATCATTTTCGGATATTTGTCCAGCAGAAGAAACATAAGAGTAAGGAAAAACTCGTCTGTAACGGTGCATGGTCGCTAGTCTGCTTCAGTACTAGTGCACCTACACTGACAACGGTGTAGTAGTGCTACGCGTCACTTCACGTACACCGTATGTGCAGAGAAAGGCTATCTTGTGAATGAAGAATTCAATAGGAGTAGAAAGTAAAATTGTATAGAATATAATCAAGTCCTTATTACACGTACCTTTGCTTTAGTCCCAACTTAATATATTTATCTACAAAATTGTTTGCTAAAGTCTTGCTCACCACTCATTGCGTGCGTCCATCTTTGATTGGATCGCAGGAGCTGGCTGATATGATGGCCCAAATTAATCAATCGGTGAGCGCTTCGTAATATTACCCCTCATGGTGTTATTCACGAACACCATCAACCTTTATGATAGTATTCTAATTAGCAAGTATCAAGGTTAATTACAAGCAACAGGCTCACTCCGTTACACGACCATTTTGTAAAAGATTGTTAATAAAATACTGTAATGTTGATGTGGTCACCGTTAGACCACATCAGGGACAGGGAGCACTTGTCTTGGTCTAATCCACTCATTTTTGAATCTTCATCGCATGGTTAACAAGTCCACGCGATGTGCGGCGGAGCTTACTGAGAAGGCAGCTGCGGCTGTTAACGCAGCTGCTCTTGACGATGCCCAGTTTCTCGCGGCAGACGATGCTTCATCTGCTGCTGCTTCAATTCTTTCTGCAGCACAAGGTGCTGCAGAGACACGTGGTGAGTCACCACTTGCAAATGATGATTATAGTTCCCAAGTGGAACTCAACGAATTGGGGGAGTCAGACAGTGAATTCGACTCGTAGAAGAGGTCTAAGTCGCTCAGGTCTCAAAGAGAGACCGATTACGAGCCAAAACAATGGATTCGGGCGGGTTTTTAGATCGATGGTCACTACAAAAATCCTATTTCGTTAAGAATATGAGTATTCTGACTCATTCTTGTGCCTGCTACTGCGCATTCGTTTCCTGACAAATTCGTTGATGTGTTGCAACGTCGTGATGACGATTCTAATGGTACCAAGAATCCCGTTGGTACTACGCAAGAGTGGCTAGACGGCCACGTGCTGCATCTGGCCCCTGAAGACAAGCCTTGGGTGGTACCAGAAAGGTTTGGGAATGACTTGCAAGGAAATACAAATCAACATCGTCAAGCTCTATTATTCGATGCAAGATTGATAAACGGCCTCGCCATCAGCGAGAGCAACTGTGCACTAAAGACGGCTTTTATCTTGATGCTTTTCTCAAGAATCGTTGGCATAGCAGCAATCACGAACGCGACAAAATATTGTTGCTGCAGGCGTGGAACACCCTCATACTCAATGCGCAGCACATTGGTCGTGATGTCTGGCTTTTAAATCTTGACGCAGCTCGTGTCAGGTTTCGAAAACGAAAATTAACGGGTGCAAAAGTCAGTTTGCACCATCTGTCTCGAGAGACAGGAATTCCATGCCTCGCGTGGAGCGACCCACATCCCTGTTGTTTCGACAACACGCAACTCATCCAAAGAGATGTTATTTCCCTTTCTTTGCCATAGGGTAGGGCGCACATCTCTTTCGAGATGCACTAAGCGATTTGATTACCTGCAATCGCTCAACCAGCGCCGTGAGCGCATGTTCTCCCGTGGCCTATCTGAGTCATCGTATGTGTCTCGTCATACTTGTACACGAGACCCTGAACGTCTCCCTTCAAATGATTACAGGCTTCCAACTGTCGTGAGATGGTGGAAAGCCGCGCAAGAGAACAAGATTACTCGTTCGCTGCTTCTTCTCGTCACGACGACTCAATATATGCTCCACGTGAAAGCGTTGACCATCCTGCGAGTCCACCAACAGCCGTGGAGGGTGAGGAATATCAATTCCGACCTATGTGTTGTAGTTGCAGACAATGCTAGATCACGATCAGCTACCTTTATGCGATCTGTGCGATTGCATTGATCAAGAGAGACATGAGCGTCTCTTTTTGGATGCATGGGTACAACGCCTTCGCCGTCACGGTCTGATGACCGAGAGGAATTCGCGTGCCACCAATTGGCGAATAAGCAAATGTTTCAAGCCTTTTGTGACAAAGTGTCTGACCTTCGCCGCCAAAACGCAGCTATGCACAGCCAAATTGAGAAAATGGCTTGGGATCATTAGAATCTCTTGACATTTTTGAGCGTGGCGGGTGTATTCACCCGAGGAAGGGACTTCGTGCTGATATTACGGAAGGAGACGGCCGACATAAGACGTAGGATGCGTGCGCATCCTGCAAGGCAACTCGATAGCGTACGCTTTGCATTTTCTGTATAGTACAAGAAACGGCCATATGTACTTGGTTAGTATCAACTGCCCACATTAGTTACTACGTGCTTAGGAAGATTTAGAGTAGACAGTATAACTGAGCCTTTAATATCCAATAGATGAACGTTTCATCTTCGATGTTGGTCAGCGTTCCGTTTCTGCCGGTCCACTGTGTTAGCGATGGATTCTTGCACAAAAAGGACCCTTGCTTCTCAATTCAACAGAACGTTCTCTGCTGATAATGTTGTGTTGGTATCAGTGCATTGGTGCGCACTGATAAGGGCTGTCTCTCTTCTTCTGCGAGGGTGTCATCATCCTCGCTGGCATATTCATTAGCGATGCTGAATATACCAGCATCTTGGTCATCGTCTGGGTCAGCAATAGTGTCGTCACTATTGCTGATGATATCTCCTTTAACTTCGCTTTAATCGACATCGACATCTTCCGCGTCGTCGAGTACCTCTACACACTTGATGTGCAAGATCCAGAAGGGTTTTGCTCGAGCGAATCCTTTGCCCCAAAAACCAGAGTCATACTCTAAATGGGTGGTTAGGCGTGGATGGCGTAAGCCATTCACGAAGAACGGTGTATGCGCTGTCGAAGCATGTACAGAGTTGTTGATGGCAAACTCCACCATCGGCAAAAGGACGCTCCGATCTGTAAAAGATTGGACATATTCATGTAGTATCTATTCGAGGACGCATTAACGCGTTCTATTGGACCACCTTTCTCGTGATGGTTAAAAGTTGACAAAGTCAGACGCGCTCTGAAGGATCGGAACACGATATTCCAAGTATCGTCGTGGATAGAGGGTCTCTATCAGATATTAGTTCACGGGACAGACCCTGAAATCGGATTACCGTGCCAATGAAGACACGTTTACAGCCCTGTGCTATGATTGAATCCTGAACGGCTGCAAGGTGTACCATTTGATGAAACGATCACCACACAACGCACACAAAGACGATCACCACACAACGAACACAAGTTTGCCATTATTCTTGTGAGCATCTTCGTTGCCCGAAGACGAAGTCCATTGATACGGACTGCCAGCACTCTGCAGGTATCGGTAGAGGCTGTAGTAGCGGACGGGACGAAGAAATGGACTTCGTTCGCTGGCACACCTCGCGAGCACGAATGTACTTACGCACAAACTGATTCCGGAGGGCCCAGCAAAAGTCGTGACTTGCCGTGAGATAAGTCTTCCTACGCTCACGATGCCCACTAGTTGGTGCATCGTGACACTCACACAAGATGCGCAGGCACAAATCGTTGTGAGTTGGGACGACAACACGAGGTGTGACGGCAACGACTGTGTAGTACAGCAACCCGTTGCGTGTTGTGTATCGATCCTCAGAGGATCGATACAAGGCCCGTAAAAATCCGAGAGATTTACGAGATGGAGTCACCAGATGATCCGTTAGTCGCAGAAGAGCCTCTTCTCCTGCGTAGGACTTATCGATGTCGTCAATCAATGTTGACGACGGAACACTAGTGACTAGCATTGCAACAGTGGTTTCACCCCACTGTTGGACTGTGCGACCGACTCGAAGTCCGGGTCGGTACGATAATTCGTGCGCGACGACATAAGTCGTCTAGATTTGGACTTAACGGAGAAGTTGTACTCCGCGAAGAAAGACATCCACGTCGCCGTCCTTTGCGAGAGGTGAGGACTGTTTACGGTCATGCATAACGACGAATGGTCCGTGTAGACTACAAGCAGCCTGTCTCTTAGGAGATGGACTCTGCATTCGCCAAAGCACACTTCATGGCAAGGAGTTCGTTGCATTGGGCTAGAATGTTACGTTTAGCCGGTTGCAGCTGACGCGACTGATAGCAGACGACGCGCTTTGGACCGTCTGCATTAATGCGCAGCCGATTGCGAAATCACTCGCGTCATAGAACACGTGAAATGGTCGGCCCTGATCTGCAATCACCACGATGGGTGATTGCATCAAGCTCTGCTTGATTTTTACAAGGTAGTGCTGACAATCAGCGTTACATGACCACTACTAGTGCCCAAGTTTTGGCACGCCCGACCAGGTCCGAATAAGCAAATGCAACTTGCACTTGCTCATCGACGATATGACGAGCCCTTAAGCTGTCGCCCAGCTCGACAAACCATCCCAGCAAAGAGTCTTCCTTGACTCATTTGCAATAAAAGATGTCTATCTTCAAATTTTTAGCTCCATGCGCGTGTGTCGCCCCGGGAACAGCAGCATGTGCGTGCTGTTGTCTCAGCAGTTCGAACTGTTGATCACCCTGTTCTCTCAACAGCTTTGCATGTTGAGAACCTTGCTGGTGAAGTAAGGTTACATTTTTCCATGACTCGTCAAATTCATGTTGTATGATTTTGGTGACGGCGGCATACTGCCCATCTCTGTCCATGCGGACAGCATGTTAGCTCACGGTCGAATCCATTCGTTCGACCGCACTCCATTCTATGTCTTTCAAATTGAAGAAGCTTTCATGCGTGGCGTGAAGGCTGTCACTGTCATTATCCAACCGGTTTATGTTTAAATGTAGGGGGTTGCGGTCCTTGGACGGACTACAAAATGCTACCAGGTGTAACGGGCCAATGGTCACTAGTACTGCTTCAGTACTAGTGCACCTACACTGACAACGGTGTAGTAGTGCTACGCGTCACTTCACGTACACCGTATGTGCAGAGAAAGGCTATCTTGTGAATGAAGAATTCAATAGGAGTAGAAAGTAAAATTGTATAGAATATAATCAAGTCCTTATTACACGTACCTTTGCTTTAGTCCCAACTTAATATATTTATCTACAAAATTGTTTGCTAAAGTCTTGCTCACCACTCATTGCGTGCGTCCATCTTTGATTGGATCGCAGGAGCTGGCTGATATGATGGCCCACATTAATCAATCGGTGAGCGCTTCGCACTATTACCCCTCATGGTGATATTCACGAACACCATCAACCTTTATGATAGTATTCTAATTAGCAGGTATCAAGGTTAATTACATGTAGCAGGCTCACCCGGTAATATCGTCGGTTTTAATTAAATTATTTTTAGGGTCAAGCAAATGGGAGAATGACGTACACAGACACAGCACTTTCGGAACTCGCGGGAGCAGTAGAAGCGGAAAGGAAAGCGCAAAAGATTACGGTATGTGTATTACAAGTAGTACATGGAGACTAGGGATACTGACGACTCAGGCGACGCGTTTATGATAGCAGCAATTTGTGTGGCTTTACTAATGGTTACGTAGGGCGAGGAAACAAGGGCGGGGAATGTAAATAGCTTCATTTCGTGGGGGCACTCGCAGCATTTGTAAGGTTAAACCCCCATACAATGTGTCCGTTGCACGTACAAGCCATACCCCACGTTATCAGTGTCTACGTCTTCCGATTGTGCTAAGAAAAACCGTGACGCTGGCTGCGAAGCCTGTTGTCAGAATTTACTGGACATGTCTCCGAACCTAATTTTGACACAGCTGTAGCGACTCCAGAGCACATGACTATTGCGCGGTACATCATGGCCCTTTCTCAGTCTCGTAACGCGCATACTACGAGCTCACGAGTGACGTCGCTGCCGCAGGTATCGCCTGTTGTACAGTCTGCGAATAGCCAACGTAAAGCTGACTACCCTCAAGTATGCATTACGAAAAGAAGATACAGATACCAAATCGTAGCATGACAAATTTTAATATGCCAATATGTTGTTATTGCTACCTACCTTCTGACGGAAGATGCTTTAGTTCTCGAGGCAACTTGATGGCATTCGATAGTCTACCAAGCGCATGATATAGCCCTAACATGTACGATAACTCCATCCATTCCTCATTTGTTGCCTCTTGGAAGAAGCGATTTTGAATTAGAGAGTCGATTTCCCCCTTGTTTTCGCGAAATAGCTTTTCCATCCGTTCGACATCGTTTAGCAAGTTTAATACGCTAGCCGTCTTCCTCCATTCTTCTTCGGCGAGTAGCTCCTGAGCAGCCTTCGGAATCCAGTCGTCCCTGCCAGCGAGTTTGGCAACAGCCAGTCTGAACGTGTCCAAAGGCCCAAGCTGTCTTTCCTCTTGACCTTCGCTGTCGTTATCATCTTGCGTCCTGGCAGTCCGGCCACCCCGCAACTTATTGCTGTCCGTCAGGCTAGGCGCCGCAGTTTGGGACGGACTGACGGGGCTTGAATCTAGAGCCAGTGCCGCGGTACCGAAGCTCACACAAAGCGCAGCAACCACGAGGTATCGCCGTCGCATCGTTTCCGTGAGTCGTGCTTCCAGCGTCGGGGTGAAATCTCGTGGTTCCGAAGAGACTGGCAGAGTGACAGTGGACATCCGGACGAACGTACAAGCTCGGACTGGTCGTCAAGCTACACATCTCGATTTTTGGATACAGTAGTATTCTGTATTGGTAGCATGAGGATCAGATTGTACAGTCAGTACTTATGACTATTCTGAGATGTCTGTGTAAAATTTTGTGTGGGTCGACGATCACCATGGCGACTTCGATCTCCTCCTCCGCTCTGGCTCATTCTGCTACATTATGAAGTCGTGCTTTACACGGAGCACGACGGAACACTACCCTGTACTGTTAATTTGCGTGTTCGTTCTGTTTACGCACCTGGCCGATGACACGAAAAGGACAGGTGTGGGATGCCAATCCACAACGATTCGAGCAGACCTTTGCTTTAGGGTATCGTTTGAGCTGTAGACAGTACGTTTTTACCGCATCGACAAATTGATCACCTATTCGGTGACTGAGGGCAAGGCATTGACACAAATTTAAGGATTACCAGGGCCCCGTTGATTTGCAGTTAACGTTGGCTGAATTGGAATAGCCACGAAAAAGACAAGATTTTTTTGTATGAATAACCCCTCTAGGTTATAACAATTACTTTGGGCTCTGATGATACTCGACAGATGTAATGGGCGCGGCTTTCTTAACCTTTTTAATTTAATCTCTTCGTGCGAACGCTTGAAAAAGAATGGACAACAGCGTGATGGTCAATTGCGTCAGATAAACGTGGCAATCGCACACTCAGATAAGCCCATCTTGAAGTTGGCAAGCGTAACCTTCAACTTGTCTCCAGATAGTTGCCATCGTTGTATTTGGTACCATACTCAACCAGTAGACTGAGTAGGCTCAATCTAAAACCGCTTCAATCTATTCTACTTCAAACCACGTAGCGACTGGTCCATCCTATTGTGTGAAAACAAACTATTCCCTTATACTCGCAAAGTCTCGTCTACGGAAATTTTGTCCATGGTTGTCTCATTGAGTCTGCCAGCAAGGTCAGCTATGCATTTGGGAATACCCTTCGTGGCTCTCAGTGCCGGGTGAGAAGCAATGAGCTCCAACTTGTCCGTGGTGGAAGGCAGGCGCGCGTGATTCAGCTCTTCAACGCGAATAGGCCGGCTCATCAGACTCACTAGCATCATCGTCGCACTCTTCATGTCAAACCTTGAAAGCGTGTACAATCGCTCTCCGTGACCGCGGACAGCACCATCCGTACAGATAGACGTTCTTGCCGTCAGCACGACTTTCAACGAAACATTATTGGTCAGGATGTCGGACAGAAATGCGCGAAAACGGTCGCGGCGACCATCATTGCGCAGAAGATAGTCGCAGCCATCCATGACCATCAGCAATTGCTGATTGTTGAACTCAATTCGAGCCTTGTGTTGCTTGAGATGATCCGAGACCATCGTCTCTAACCGAATCAGTACACGACAACGAACGTTTGCAATTTTGATGTTTCGCCGCAACATTCCCACGTGCTCATCCATTTCATCTTGGGCTAGCCTGGCCACCGAAAAAATGCGAACCCCTCCCTCTGAAGTAATACGCGGTCCAACGTAATTTGCTACAGCGTGGGCAATTGTAGTCTTTCCGATACCTTCCTCACCACAGATTGTCACAAGACGTGTGATCCGAGACTGCGTCATCATCAAAGCAAGACAGATCTTGTACACTTCGACAGAGCGGTTACAAAACCCTTGGCACATCGCTGGCAAGTCATCAAGCCACAACGTCGGGTACCGCTTGGACTTAACCGGCTCCAAATGAACTGATCTCGTAGCCTCCACAGCAACTAACGGAAATATAACCTCCGAGTGGTCGCCATCTTCCGGATAGAGCATAAATTTCTCAGCAACTGCCATGGGTCCTCGAATATTTGGCGATTTTGCAACTGATTGCTGAGCAATGGTAAAGCTTGCCTCCACAGACTTACCAGTTGCAAGTGCCAGGTAAAACGCGCGCGTGAACTCAATAGCCGCGTAGTCTTCAATCTTTTGGTTGGTTCGAACACCGATGACGTGCGGAATTCCACACGATACGAAAGCATAAGCCAGCGGTGCAGAGGAGCAAGCAGAAACAAACACAAGACGTAGTGTTGACTCATCCCTGCCACCTCCTGCCGAAAACAGTTCCTGAAGACCTTTATGGGGGATCGGATGCACCAACCCCATTCCATCTTCGAAGTACAAGTGATTCTCGTCACCATGGCCTGAAAAATGAAGTGCTCTACATCCTAATGTGATCATGGCACGGAATGCGTCCGTGTTGGCAAATTTGGCAACCACGTCGATCTGACGCGAGCACTCGTACGTCCTGGACGATGTCATTCCAGTGTCAGTACTACCCAATGTATTGACATGAGCGTCTGTAGCCGTTCTTTTTGCAAATTTGGAGGCTTCAATTAGACTCTTTTGGAGAATAGAGTACTCGCGCTTAACATCTAACGCAGCGATAGGATGGTACTTGCCATGAATGTCTTTGCCCACGAGTGGTGCTGAGAAGAGCACGCCCAGTGTATACTCTTGGAAATGAGGCCGTTCCTGTGATTTGTCCGCCTGTACATCGTCGCCACTACTTCTCGCAGTGCTGCGTTCTTGAGCGCCTTTCACGTGTGGATCTTCCACGACATACCCAAGCAGCACATTGCCTTGACGAGACAAGAGCGTAATCTCCTGTCCATCCTGGAGCTTGTACTTGACGCCCTTTTTCACTTGCACATTATCGATCTTGATGCCATTCGTGCTGTGGTCGGAGATAAACACCGCATGACACTGCGTCTCGGGGTCCAGCGCTGTCTCGAGGAGACAATGCGTCCGGCTCAGCTTGACGGGATCAATGGCCGAGGTTTTTTTGTCGAAAATACTCTGAAACTTTTCCCTCCCTAACTTGATACAAGGCGTCCCGATCTGCATTTCAATGCGGTACAGTCCCTTCTGCTCGAGCGCATTTTTCTGAAACGCCGTCACGACTTTGTCCACTTCAGGGTGCAACGCCAGACGTAAGACGAGACGCGACGACGGGGGACTGTCGTCGACAGATAATTGGGTACACTCTTGCGTGTTTTGCTGCGAGAGATTCAAGGCTTCCAGGCGCTGCTGCGAGTCTTCTCGTAACGCTGTCAACGACTGCACGTCTCCATTTTGCTTGCTGTTGCCTCGTGCGACACTGTTGCAGCCAGTGTTCTCGGTCCCTTCACCTACCCCTGTTAGTGTCTCGGGATAAGTCCGTGACGACACTTTGAGGCGCTTATTCGGTAAACAGCTGTCGACGCAAAGTACCGGCTCTTGTCTCGGCTTGTGCGCGCTCTGGACGCTACTCGAGGACGTAGAAGGGACAGCGGCGATTGCACTGGATCCAGCCGAGTCGGCTGCGAGGAGCTGCAGCACGGAAGGCGCGCTGGACGAGGCACCTCGTTTGGTTGGCGCGCGGGGTACAGCAGACAAGCAAGTGTCTGGCGTGTCAAGGTTGCTGCAACGAGCGTCTGGAAAGGGTAACGTACCGTCGACAAAGGACCGTCGAGGTGTTGACGCAGAGGAAAAGACGCCGGCGCGCGCGCACTCGTCGTCGCCCATGGCGTTCGTTTCCCTTGAAGTGCGGAAGGGAAATGCGCGGTTGCCGGAAAGCGGGGATAGACCAGGGGTGGGGGTAGGGCAGGGCAAGAGAAATGTCGATAGTGAAAGCAAATTAGCGCGCGTTGCTCCCTCCGACAGAAATGTAGGTTTGGCGATAGAGGGTTTTATTAGCATAGAGAAGTTATGATGTATTAGATCGTAGTGTGGAAGCTTGCATGACTTCTATCTCCTTTTTTGAGTTAGCACGTAGACTGCAGCAAGTAAAGAACATCACCTCTATAAAGATGGGGGAGCAGCAAGCTTTGGAGCTCGTCTTTTAGTAAGTTACTCAGTCCATAGAACTGAATCAAATTGCAAAACGCTATACTACAGCAGTCACTGACGAAGGGTAAGATAGGGGAACAAGCTCTGGGAGCTCGCCCCTCGATACAAGTAACCTAGTTCGGAGAACTGCATCAAGATGCAAAACACTATACAACAGCCGCAGTCACTGAAGATGGAGTACGATGCTGGTAATGTATGTATTGACACAGTAAAGTATAGTTAGGCAACGCGATCGGTCTTTGCTTATGAGCGTCCAGCATTTGCTAGTGTGACCATATTCACCTTCGATCGATATTAAGTCAATCTCGTGCGTGCAGCACAATTGTGACCTCGCCAAAGAGTGACACCGATCATGCTAATCGACTTATGAGGGGGGACAGGCTAGATCGCACTTAGCACGTGTAAGGTACACCTAGTCGCGTCATAAACAGACGCACAGCTCACACAGACACACAAACAGACAGACAAGTATGATTTTAAAGCGGCATTCGACCCTGCGCACAGTCACTACTAGCTTCAACCTTCGGGATAGTAATTGTTTGTATGATGTTTTTAAAGAGCAAAGAACATCAACATTCACTGTTTGCGAAAGATAGAAGAATTACGCTATTTTTAGTGTCAAATATTCGCTCATTAGCCCTCCATTCGCCCTGAGTCACTTTTTAGCCAAATCTTGTTCAATGACCTTTGGCATTGCATGCGACGTCATGCTCTATGTCAAGCACTTTTTTACCGTCGGCAATACACGCTTTATCATCGACGGCGTCAAGAGCAGTACCACGGGCAACGTCATCTTCAACAGCGCGGGCGCTATCACGTGCGGTTCATCTTCTACTTAATTTAGTACTATAACAATATCACGGGTGGCGCTCCGTTTGGCATCGAAAGCAGCAACACAAGGACTTTCCCCACACCCTTAGCATCCCGAAAATTTTTAACTTGGTCGTCATCGCGACCCCAAATTGTGATATGGATGATCTCATTTTATGGGGAAGAACGTCCAATCGGGTCCTGTCAGTGTCCCCCGGTGTCTCCTCTCCGTTCAATATTTGCGATAATCTCTTTTTTACGCAGTATACAGACTATCCTTATAGTTGATCTTTGCATGGTGATTAGATTACAAGACGAAAGGCGCGTGGTAATTAGATAGCAAGACGAAAGGCGCGTGTGAAACGAGATCTCGATGATACATAGGCATCGCATTCAGCTGAACCATTTCACGACGCCATTCGTTCATTTTCTTCCGAATGTTTTTGAACTGATCCATTAATGGTAAACATCTAAGCGAATTGATTGCCACCATAACACGATCAAAGAGAAATGGTATTAACATTTCATAAAAAGGCCTTTAATCACGGTCTCAGAGACTGATACACCTGTAGGAAACGTTTGATTAACTGTTGGAATTTGACTCATGTCAATTCATAGAAGTCTTGCTGAAGAGCGCAGGAGACGAAGCACTCAACGATCGTCCGGCTTTGCGTGAAATGGCATCACATGTACGTCTTTTTTGGTAAATATCAGAGCTCTAAAAATATTCAAATGTCACCCCGCACCCCCTGAACTGTAACGGGGCACACCTTATTCCGTTAGCTGAATCAACCTTGCACTGCTGACAGTGCAAGAGTGTGTGCGTACGACTACCTCACGTACACGTACATGCAGAGAAAGATTAATACGCAGAGTAAGAGTACTCAGTAAAGGTGAAAAGTAAAACTGTTTTCAGTATAGTTATTCCTTTTTGCTAAATTAATTTTGACTTCATTTAACTGTGTCTAACACAAACATGTATCGTGACTATCTGCGCACCACTCATTGCGTGCTTTTGTCGCAGCTGGACTTTAATGGTGAATATCTCGATCCTGTATCAGCCAATGAGTAGTGTGTTACATCTGCGAAGCAATATTATCTATTAGGTTAATGTTTTGAGAGTGTCGTGTTTTCTCAAACACAAGGTTCATACTTGATAGTTACCTTGTGTATATTCTCGTGTAACAGATGTTGCAAAATGATATTTCGTACATATCCGGGTACTAGGTGTACGCCGGTAAAATCTGCTAGAAAATTTTTGATTAGTCCGTTTAAGAGTTAGTTCTAGAATTTTCGATGCTTAGGGAAACGTGTGGCAGCGGCAGAGGCCGCTGCAATGAGAGGTCTCACTTTGCGTTCGGTAAGCCACTGAGGAGGCCCGCGGCGGCGGGCCGAAAAGCGTCCGAAAGTGAAATCTTTTCCATCATGTGCTCTTAGTTTCTTACAGGTTATGAGCCCAAAATCGCGCGTGTGCCGCCCTGCATGGGCAGGCGCTGTTGCATAATTGTGAAAACAAAGAGCGCATGATGGAGGGCTGAGCTGTTGGGATGATCGGCACAAGAAGGATACTTGGTGCTGAGAGAGACCCACACGGGGAAGGATAGCGGCACCAAGCTAGAAGAAGCTGGTGCGTCCGCAGTCAAGTCAAGATGCGGAGACAAGGAAGATGTCGCAAGAACCGAAGATAAAGAAAAGAGGACGGCGTATAGAAGTGCAGGACGGTGGAATATTGCCAGGAGTCCGTGGACCATTCGACCACCGACGAGTCGAGCGAATCAATGCTAGGGCGGCAAGCATCGTGATACGCTGGCGGGAAGCCCTAGGCGGCGCAAGGATAAAGCGTGCGTACAAGCATCCAGGACATGCACAGTTGGCAAGATGTTCAAGATGAACAGCCAAAGAGAGCACAAGCAGCGGTGATACCAAGTCGCACACTCTCACCGGCGAGGGGTAGTGTTGGAAAGTGGTATTTCGTACATATCCGGGTACTAGGTGTACGCCGGTAAAATCTGCTAGAAAATGTTAGATTAGTCCGTTTAAGAGGTAGTTCTAGAATGGTCGATGCTTAGGGAAACGTGTGGCAGCGGCAGAGGCCGCTGCACTGAGAGGCCTCAGTTCGCGTTCGGTAAGCCACTGAGGAGGCCCGCGGCGGCGAGCCGAAACGCGTCCGAAAGTGGAATCTTTTCCATCATGTGCTCTTAGACATATACAACAGAGGCACCCCGTTACATCACCGCACCCCCCCCCTTGGCCATCAGTCGCATCAGTGACTGGGTGATGATTGAGTGAATCTTTTGAATGTATTTGGGACAAGGAAGCACTTTTTGGACAATCTATCAATTTAATGTTCTCATCGCATGGGTAACAAGTCCATGCGGTGCACAGTTAAAGCTTTTGAGAACGCAGCCAAGAGACTCATCTCAACTGCCGAAAGGGGGACATGATCGCCCGAAGCAGCTGACGTAAGTTCACTTGCTGCGTCCACGGCAGCAGCGACTACTGGTGCATCACCGACACGCGGTGATGCACCACGCGATATCGAAGAAGGTGAGCTTAAGCACACACACTCTGGCGAGTCTGACGGTGAGAACGACTAGAATGAGGCGAAATCCAAGGATGAGCCAGAGTTGGCTAAACCGGAGACGACTGAGTCAGTTTACCGAAGCGGTTCAAGCCTCTCAGATCGTCGTGACATCTTTGGATCCTTCGGCGAGTCAGACCCTCCGAATCTGAGACGGAGTCGTTTGGCTGAAAGCGAGAGAGGCAGTGCATCTGGACCCCGGGACGATTTTGAAGATGATGCAATCTTGCATCAGAGTCCGGGCGATCAGGATAATCCTAGTGTTAGTACTTCTGTTGAAACGAGACAAAAGACTGTGAATCGCAGCATCTTGCGCGTTGCTTCTGAGAAGTAGCCGTAGATATTTTCCTCAGAGAGTGTTCTATCTTCTGTCTGACACGACAGGTGATTTTTATCGAATAAGATTATTCGATTCATTAAGGCTTTATACGCTTTATCCTTGTGCGAGTAACTTTTGCACTGAATATGTTATTTCATCGAAGCGTTCTTGAAGCATCGATGGTACATTGGGAATCACAAGCGTGATGGTCCCTCCTTGGTTCAGGCATGAAAATCTTTTATTCACAACATTGTGAGATAAAGCATGACGCCTGGCTAGACAGGATATTGCTAGCTAAAAAACAGTTTGAGAAGCGGGATTCTACCGCTGCATGTTTCAAGATGCGTCGATTGTCAACAGAGGCCGGTCTACCATGCCTCTCTCGGGGTAATACGTACCAAGGTTGTGTGAATAACTTGGCACGAGCTACAAAAAGACCCCCCTACTTGATGACTGACCCCTGGTGGAGGGTACGTGTCAAGCAAGAAACTTACGAGGAAATAGATGATTTGCAATCCCTCAACAAGTGTGCTAGGCGTTCATTCCCCGATTGTCTTTCTTTGGAATCGGACGCGCATTGTCAGACTGCTCAAAAATGATCAAAACATCAACCAGCGGTTTATAGCGAGGCTCCAACTCTCAGCCGAGGCTGGATACCCGCGTCAGCGGATGAGGTTATTTACTCGTCGGACGTCCCTTCACATCACATTGGTTCAACCTAAATTTTCCTGAGAAAGCCACCGTGCGCATCATTTTATGAATAAGGCGGAAGAGGAAACACATTCTCAGACGTATGTAGAGGTCCAGTATGATGCTAAGAGTCATCTCGAGCGCGTAACGTGTGAGTTGCGCGAGGAAATCGAGTACGAGAGAGTCGGGCGTCTGGATTTGCTCGGATATGTGAACCGCCTTACCTTGGAACGACAGAGGGATCGATAAGTTTTTGCGTTTGCCCATCTTATGAATGAGAGGGTACAGCGTTCTCTTTGTGAAGATGTAGTGGAAGCTCGTCAGGATTTCGCCCGGTATCGCGGGGAAATATCCGAACTTCAGACGCGGGATGATGGTCAGCACCGAGAGCACAAGTATCTCTTGGAGATGCTTGAGAGCTAAGGATTTATTTACCGGAAGAAGTCACGTACAGGCAACCGTAATAGAATATACGATGCGTGCGCATCTTACGTGTAAGTTTAATTGTTTATGCGTTGATTAAGCGGCGCAGCACAAGAAATGGACCGATAGACTTAAGTAGTAACAAGTTACTACTCACGTTAGTCACTACGTATTGAGGTAGATTTACCGTAAATAGTAGGACGAAGCTTTTTCACTGAATAAAAGAACAGTTTCTCTTCCATTCTTATTAGCGTTATTCTTTTGTCGGTCCACCGCTTCGGCAATGGAATCTTGCACGAAACGGACAACCGTCTCGCGAACCAGTATAATTTCATCTACTGACTCGCTGTCTTTAACTTCAGTGCACTTGAAGCACTCTGCAACAAGATCAGTGGCCTGTTTAGTAGGAGCGCCCTCGCATTTACATTTCTTTTCTTTTTTTAACGAAGTTGATATGATCGACATCGGCGTCATATGTAGTGACCTCGTGGTCAGTACGTGATGAGCTAGATCCGATTTAGCGTCCACTTAAATTCGTAAATGATTGGATGTAACTGCAAAGAATCTCCTCAAGAACGCGGTTGGCACGTTCTGAATGACCATCTGTTTCCGGGTGGTCAGAAGTAGACCTCTGAAGGCGCATTCGAGTGTTTTAAACACGGACCGCCAGAATTTACCAGTGAACCGTGGGTCTCGAATGGAGACGAGTTTTCACGAGGCAGCCCATGAAGACGATAGATTATGACAATAAAAACCAGAGCACAGGTCAATGCCTTGATCGATTCAGGTACAGTGACTAGGTGTTCCATGTTACTGAATCTATCAACAAACACAGTAATGCCTGTATTCTTGTGTGTGTCTGCGGGGAATCCAAACACATAGTCCATGGAGACCGATTCCCACCATTCCGCCGGAATGCGTAAGGGTTGGATACCACGGCACATGGAGTGAAGGACCAGACTTCACTTGTTGATATACTTTGCATACGCGGCCGTATTTACGCACGATCTGATACT